TCCCGGGACCGGATTGGGAAGACAGCCGGGCACGTGGAGGCGTGCGGACCGCGGGGCCGGGGTGGGACTGGAGGGCCTGGCGGGGAAGCGGGACGCGGAGCTGAAAGGACCAGAGGTCGGACCGAGAACGCCGGCGGTAGAAGTGACCCAGCACCCGCGCCTCTCCTGCGGGGCGCTTCTCTGGCTTGGAAGAGGGAGCCCGGAGGTGGGTGTATCCGCGGTTCTAAGTGCTGAGGCTTCTCGAGAGTGGAGGGGACGTCTGTAGAAGGTCTCGAGAAGCCTGGTGTGTTCCATGCTGGGGACTAGTGGGTCCAGGGAGCGGGACTCCCAAACCCCAAAGCCAGGATGTCCCCAGCAGGTGAACCCAGGACTCGCGCCTCGGAGCACTTGTGTCAAGGGGGTTCCCTCCCGGCAGGCCCAGCGGGGCTGTGATGAGTGCACTGTCCTGCCTCCTTAGCGCTGGGTGTAAGCGTGGGTGACACCTGCTCGCGCGTGACTCACCTGGCTCCCAGTAGGCGTATTTGTTTGTGTTGAACTGGAGTGTATTTCCACTTGAGAAAAGTGCTGTTTGAAAGCTGAGCGTCTCTGAGTACTTGTGAGATGCCACGGCTCTGAGCGTGTCTTCCCCCATGAAGATGTGCCTTCCAGGCGGGACCGGCCTTTCTCCCTGCCTCTGTGGGCAAGACGGTGTCACTGGTGGTGTGGGCGCAGGAGTGGTTAGGCTGTGGCTGTGGGAGCCTGTGGCCTCCGGCTCCACTCGCCCTGGACCGGGCAGAGCTGGAGGGAAGCTGTCCACACCTGTCTCTTCCAGGCAGCTGTCTTTCTGAGGGAGATGGGTTTTGTTCCTCCCTGGAAGAGTTTAGGGAACAAGTGGGTAGAAGGCAAAAGAAAGTTGAGATCCTTGCCTTTCTGTGGTGGGATGGGTTGTTGGCAGAACTGGGGATGTCTGTGGGGTTGGACCCACCTGGAAGAGGAGACCATGTTGAGTCTTGAGACTTCTGCAGATAGTGATTTTATTTTTTAACATTTTAAGTTTTTTATACAATTTTAAAGGTTACTTTCCACTTACAACTGGAACAAAATATTGGCTCTGTTCCCTGTGTTGTGCAGTGCATCCCTGGGCCTGTCTCACACTCAACAGCTTGTGCCTACTATTCCCCCACCCCTATAATACACCCCCAACTGGTAACCACGGATTTGTTCTCTATATCTGAGAGTCTACTTTTCTTGAATCTTCACAAGTTTGTTCAATTTTTTAGACTCCACAGATAAGTGATATCATACAGTATTTGTCTAGACAGTGCTTTTAAAGTGGGCCCCGAGGACAAGGAGGAATCAGTGTATAGCCACCTGGCCCATACTTCCCACTGGTCCAGATCTCCTTGGAGCCACCCAGGCAGTCAAATGGGAGAGTCCTCATTCTTAATGACTTGCTGGACCACGAGGGGCTTTCCTGCTCGTTGCAAGGATGCTTTAGTGCCACCTGGGAGGAAAGGCTGCCTCTGATTGTCTGGCTGACTGTGGGAAGACCCTTCTGCGCGTCTCAGTTTCCCCTTTCTGCTTTGCTGTTTTCTCGCCATTGGAGGTTTGACCATCGAAATATTTTAGGGGAGGGAACCGAGTCGAGCAAGAGCCACAATGTCGAGGAGGTTGGCAGAAGTGACAGCATGTGAGTGGTGGTGGGGACACAAAAGCAGACCGGGAATTGAGCTCTGTCTTCCTTCCTGCAGGGAGCTGTGCGCGTGGTGTTTAGGGCTCCGTGGATGAAAGGGGCTAGACGCTCTCCAGGGGCGGGACTTGCTGCTGCTCCTCCGTGCTCCCCGAGGAGGCAGGTGTTCTGCTGGGACCCCCCTCACCCTCTTACCTGCTTAGACCAGGTGTGTGGGTGGGGCTGCAGGGCGTCTGGCCTAAAGGCTGCATGGCTGGAGTAGAAAGGTGCAGGTTTGGGGTCAGACGTCCCTGGGTCTAAATCCTGGCAGTTACTCACTACCTTTAGGGCTTCAGGCTCAGTTTCCTGATAAGTTATATGGGGAGGGGGGTGAACTAATATCCATCCAGAAAGGCTGTGGTGAAAATCCAGCGTGTGCAGAGCGCCTCCCAGGGGCAGGACAGACAAGGTTTCCGAGCCTCTTTCAGCACCGAACGTCTCTTCCTGGGAATGTCTCGGAACACCCCTTGATAGACTCTGCCCAATTCATTCATGTTTATTTAGCAAAATGGATCAAGCATTTACTGTACCCTGGGCCCTACCGGTTCCCTGCCTTGGACTTGGGAGCCAGGGAAGCTAGTGGCCCAGGTGGAGGTAGGGGCCTGGCTTTGTCACTGGAGAGCAGAGGGTCTCCACCTCCTATGGTCTAACTCCGGTTTTGCCTTGACCCCAGGGTGAACTTGCTGAACATTAACGAACTCTAATGTCAGCATCTAACTCCCTATTTTAAAGATGGGGAAACTGAGGCCCATGGTGGAACAGTATCTTGCTTAAGATCGGATGACTGGTGAGTGGCAGAGCTGGGACTGGGGTCCCCTTTCCGCATTTGCATCGGATGTCCTGCTCTGTTTCCTGCTCTGTGGGTCCCGGTGCTCAGACCTTGGCTACCTGTGTCCACAGGTGTGGAGGCTGGAATAGTCTGACCTGGGCGATGTCTCCCATCTCGCGGCTCAGATAAGGTTGCTGGGGGTTAGAGATGCTCCCCTCTGTCCAGCAGAAAGCGCAGGACTTTGGAATCTGAGAATGCCACCTCTGGAAGGGGTGGGGCCTTCAAGAGGTCCTTAAAATGCACCCTCCTTTCTTCTCATGGGCTTGCAGGCTACCTGGTCCAGTGGAGAAGGGTGTCCCTGTCTCTCTAGATCTCCTGGGATGTGCTGTCATGACCTCCTGGGGCTCCCATCCTGGTCTTGCCCTGGTGACTGCCATGGAGTAGTCCCTGTCTGAGGCTCCATTCTCCCTCCCAGTGGAAGCTGGGGACACGGGCCGGCTCTGCCCCGTGCCTTCCTGCAGCCGAGGTTGGTCCTGGGTTGCCTGTCTTCCTTTGCCCCCCATGACCCTTTGCTGGCAGGGGTTGGGGCGACAGCTCCCTTTAAGGCTCTGAAATTGGAGCTGAACAGCTGCTCCCCAGCCCCCCCTGCCCCGGGGTTTAACCAGCGCAGGGGCCCAGGTGGCGGTGGGGGCAGGGCCGTGTCGCTGGGCACACAGCGCCTGGGCTCTGATTCCAGCTTCGCCTTGTCCTCTTCTTCCCGTGCTTTTGGGTTTTCGTTTAGATACTCAGAAACACTGTGACCACCTCCTGTGTGATGTGGTCCTCGAGCCTTCAGCTCTCGGGACTGGCCCTTTGGGCACATTTCCACTAGAACTCCAGTCCCTAAGGTCTGTGCCCACATCCTTCTGCCTTTAATCCAGGCCAGCTCCTGGACCGGCAAGAGGAGGGCCCCGCTCCCTGTGGTGCTGACGGTGGGCGGGCCCCCATGGGTGGGGACGCGGGCTTCCTTTGACCCAAACTTCACGGGAACAATAGACTTCAGAGGAGTCACCAGGGGCAGGAAATGGGAGCTGCGCTGAGGCTGGGTGACCCTCGTGGGGGATGGGGTTGCATATCCGGCCTGAAGGGAAAGCAGGGTGTTGGGGGTGGGCAGAGGGCACTGGGGTGGGGCTGGTGACACACTGGGCGGCGCCCCCTTGAAGGGGGCTCTTGACCCAGAAAAACCGGAGCTGCTGAAGTTCATCCTTCTTCCGAACCTTCTGCTTTGTGTCTTAGCAGCAGAGCTGTCTCGGTATCTGCCAGCCTGGCTCACGCCATCTCAGCCCCGCCAGAACCACGTCCTCCCTTCCCTTCAAGGCCCTGAGTTGTCGGCGCGAATCGTCCTGGCTGGGATAAAAGGCCAGTTTTGTTTCTTCCTGGCTGATCTCCATCTTGGCATTGAGCCTTGAGTCATAGTTGACCGTGTGGTGGGCAGAGCTCTGGGTGGGGAAGGAACAGGCCTGGGTCAGCTGGACGGACAACAAAAAGGGATTTTTTTTTTAAGCTGCAGTCGGAGCAGGAGGACAGCCAGGACAGGCAGGGGGAGATTCCTGCTTGAAGCAGGTGGTGGAACGTCCCGGAAGGTGCGAGCACTCTGATCCTGCCTGCATCTTTGTGAGGAGGGCAGACCTGTCAGAGGGCTGGGACCGCCTTGGGAAGAAGCGAGTCAGGCCACACCGAGTTCAGGTGGCGAGATTCTCACTGATCAGGTTTTGGGGACTTGAGAGAAGCTTCCGGGGTGACCCCAGAACCACTCGAGGGTCCGGGAGGAGCCCCCACAAGTGGGAGGGCATGAGCATGGCAGAGTAACATCCTGACCTGGCGCATCTCTTCAAGGGGACAAGACAGGGGTCCCGGAATCGGCACGCTGGCGAGTTTCTCACGGATCCCTTGCTGATCCCAGGTCAGGTGTTTGATCCAACAATCTGCGGGGACTTCAGAAATGAGGTTGAGGTAACTAGTGGCCCACATGGATTCACTCCACCAAGTCGTGGGAAAGTAACCTCATTTGGGTGAAGGGTTTCCTCGGGTTCAAGAAAATCCCATGCGTTCCAGCTGATAACAGCGGGACAGGCAGGCGGACCGTAGCTGGTTGAAAGACCGCCCTGAGTACTGGGACCGAGCTCGCGTCATCCTGCGGCGAGGTCTTGGGTGACAAGTCACTGAGCGCTGTCCGTTCTGTGGGTGTTGAGGATAACAGACGTACTGGGGGACAGAACCAGGATTCAGAATCATCTCCACTGACCAGAGTGCTGAGAGTAGGCAGGAACATGAAACAAAAATCTTTTTCTTGTTAAAATTAACCCATGCTCATTAGAGAAAACCGGGAATATAAAGAAATACCTAAAGGCGAAGATAGCGTGTAACGGAGTGCCACGGCTCCGGGATGAGTGCAGTCACTATTTTGATGTGTGTCCCTCCAAGTTTGTGTTCCTGCAAACCTCTCTATTTTAAACATAATTGCAGTTATACTCTATTCTGGTTTCTTAGCTGCTCAATACTAGATAAAAGTTACTGTGAACTGTCATTTTAAGGATCCGAAGAGTATTGCATTATGTGAATATACCCTATTTAACTGTGCTCTACTGGATTAAAAAAAAATCGTTTTCTGTTTTTAGCCATTAGCAGTGACTTGACATCTAGCAGTATTAAACATGTTTTCATGTCTCAGGATGAAATCCAAAAAATT